GGATCATGAGGTCAGGAGTTCAAGACCAGCCTGGCCAATATGGTGAAACCTCATCTCTACTAAAAATACAAAAATTAGCCAGGTTTGGTGGCGGGCGCCTGCAATCCCAGCTACTCGGGAAGCAGAGGCAGGAGAACTGCTTCAACCCGGGAGGCGGAGGTTGCAGTGAGCCAAGATTATACCACTGCACTCCAGCCTGGGTGACACAGCAAGACTCTGTCTCAAAAAAGAAAAAAAGGTAAGATTCTGTCTTTTGCAACAACAGGGATGGAACTGGAGGTCATTATGTTAAGTGAAATAAACCAGGCACAGAAAGATAAACTTCACATATTCTTATTTGTTGAACTAAAAATTAAAATGATTAACCTCAAGGAGATAGAAAGTAGAGGGATGGTTACCAGAGGCTGGGAAGGGTAGTGGAAGAGTGGTAGAGGGATGTGAGGATAGTTAATGGGTACAATAAAAATAGAAAGAATAAGATCTAGTATTTGATAGCATAACTTTAGGATACCTAAAGAATGAATAAAATCTAGTACTTGATAGCATAATTTTAGGATACCTAAAGTCAATAATAACTTAATAGAACCTTTTTTTTTTTTTTTTTTTTTTTTGAGACAGAGTCTTGCTCTAAGGCCCAGGCTGGAGTGCAGTGGAGCGATCTCAGCTCACTGCAAGCTCTGCCTCCCGGATTCACACCATTCTCCTCCCTCAGCCTTCCAAGTAGCTGGGATTACAGGCACCCGCCACCATGCCCGGCTAATTTTTTTGTATTTTTTAGTAGAGACAGGGTTCACCGTGTTAGCCAGGATGGTCTCGATCTCCTGACCTCATGATCCACCTGCCTCGGCCTCCCAAAGTGCTGGGATTACAGGCGTGAGCCACCACACCCGGCCTAATTGTACATTTTTAAATAACTAAAACTGTATAATTGGATTGCTTGTAACACAAGGGATAAATGCCTGAGGTGATGGATACCCCATTTTCCATGATGTGATTATTATACATTGTATGCCTGTATCAAAACCTCTCATGAGATATATTTTCCCATTAAAAAAATTCCTCATTAATATGTCATAAATCCCATAAATATATGTGTGTGTGTGTATATATATATATTCAGTGTAATTTTAAAACATTTAAAATAATTATGAAGATTTATCATTGTCATAACATTGCATTAATATACTGGTTTCATATATAATTTATTTAATTTGGAATTCCTAATAAAGAACCAAATTTCTCATTCCTGTATGTGCATAGAAAAATGTAATCTGCTTTACCAAAATTCCCTTTACAATATGACGAAGAATAAAAGTGGGATGTGCCTTTATGGTAACACCCTCCTGAATCCCCAAATAGCCAGGAAAGCACAACATAGCACGGTCTCTGGAAAACAGCCAGGACCGAGGCCCAGGACTCAGGGGAAGGAGCTGACAGGTGTGCGCACTCCAGAGTCCACTCACTTCCAGACATTCAGCCAGCAGAAAGCCTTAAGAGATCATCTAGTCCAACTATCTCACCCACAGCTGGGGAAACTGAGCCCAAGGGCAGAAATAGCTTACCAAGTCGACCTAAGTTATTGACCAGGAATAAACTTACCAGACCCTAGGAAATTAGAAGCAACAAGCTGGTGGCAGAAGTGGGGTGGGCTGTGGCTTTTATACTTATGGTAGTGACAAATGGCAACTGACCACGGAAGACAAGGTAAACAAATGAAAAGAGCGTATTACAGAATAATGAAAGAGCTTATTAAACACAAAAATGAAAGAGCTTATCACACGAATCCGAGTCACTATGAAAAAGACTCAATAAATTTGTTATTCTCCATTTTAAAAAAGTACGTGATATATCTTAGAATGGTTTCCATCAAGAATGCTAAGATCTGCACAGAGATTGCATTCAAAGGGGTCAGCTCCAGGTATCCGGAAGGTTAATTTCTGTGGAATGCCTTCCTGCCCAGCACAGGCTTGTTTTTTCAAGGACAAAGTTTGTTTTTGACATGTGCACACATTTCATAGACAATAAAGCTAATATTCTGATTTTTGAGGCCTAAAATAACTTGTATGCAGATGACAAGTTATCTAAATGACCTGAAATAAAAGTGACTGTAAATAAGTCCTCAGGAATGTACAGTTCTTAAGCATCACGAACTGCCACTCCCCAAGTCAGGCATATATCAACAACACCTTATCAATCCCAACGATGTTATGGGAGTCCAAAGACAGGCAGACGACATGGACAAGAATTTATTACTCCGGCATGAAGTAACAAGCATGTTAGCTTTACTGAGCTCCATGCCAGGAGCAGAAGTCTTCCCTTCCCGCGCCTGTCCTCCCCTCCCCTATAGTTCACCTTTTCCTCCTAGCTGGCTAACAAGAGCGAAGTGATTCTGTGATAAGATTCCTCTTTGGTTTCTAGTCCTTGTATTTATTCTTTATCATGCTTCTGGTGGCACCACTCCCCGGGGCATCCCTTCCCCCATTACCACTAAAAGTAACAGGACTCCCGAATCCAAGTGATCTCATCCCCGTGTCCAGGCACCTCTAGGTGAGCAGGCCTCGCCATGCACATGTACCTGCTCAGGACAGTTTCTATTCCATGATTCACCCACCAGGTATCCTCCCCAGGATCTCAGGTTCATGCTTCGGCCTTTACATTCTGTGCTATCATTTTAATGACTTTTACATGATTTAGAGGAAAGAACAGGAGAGCTTTGGAGCCAGAAAATCCTGGGTTGAATCCCAGCACCAGCATCCAGATTGAGCTCTGTGTCTGGGAACAAGTTATTTCTCCTTCCTGAGCCTTGGTGCCATTAAGTGTAAAAGGAGACGGCTGTGCAGAGTCAAGGAAAGGCTGCATATAAAGTGCCTGGCACAGAGTAGGTGCTCTGCGGATGCTCCTTTCCTTACCCTCCCACGCCCCGACTCCCTCTTCCTCCAGTCAGAACTGTTGGCTCTGGCTTCTTTCTCTCGGGAATGGTTTTCTCCCATCTCTTGTCGCCGACCCTCCTCATATGCTTCCTTTTGGCAAGAGCTTCTACACCTGAATCATGAAGAGTGTTTAAAAACCTGTATCGAGAAATGTGATTATAGAGCATTGCCAAACTGTGCTTCTTGAAATAGAAATAACGAGACTACAAAACGCAGCTAAGCTAGAGAGGGCTGCGTGAGACTGAGGGAGCAGAGAAGACGCTCTGGATACCCCCTGCTTCCCTTTTCCCCTTCCCCAGTGACACCAGATTTAGCAAATGAAAATGTAAGACACTCAAATTTTCATTTCAGATAAATATCAAATATGTTTCTAGTGTGTCCCGACAATTGCAGTTGAGAAGAAAAATGGCACTGTAGCAAAGATAAGCTGTAGAGAAAGGAAAATAAATCATGACTGCCAGAGACAGAGGCAGCTGTCCCTTCTACCTGGTGCTACCAGACAGAACTTCAAATTCTCTGACCAAAAGGGAACCCCTGGCGGAGTCAGAGCTTTGTGTGATTGCGGAGTCCTAGAAAGTGCCAGTAGGCAGTAAACACACAGCCATGCTCCTTCAGCTCCAGTAAGCATGGTGGTTACTGGAGAGGGGCTTGGGACTTGAAGATGGCAGCTGCCCAGGCACCCTCAATAAAATCCACCCACCTAATGTTATGTGGGTTTTATCATATTTTTTATTAATTTTAAACATAATTTTGTGGAATGAGCACATATTTAATATTCCATATAATCTTTAAAGTGTTGCAAAAGATGACATAAGCCAGTCATACTTAAATACAAGTGAATTTTCTCTTAATTTATTTGGATTTGAATTTTTGCTTTAAAAGAATAAAGGGGAATAAAATTTCACAGGAAAATGCACACATTACTGTACAAACTGAAATATCATCCCCGCTGAATTATTGCAATAACTTCTCAACTGGACTCCCTGCTGCTGCCCATCCAGTCTCTTCTCAACTCAGCAGCCAGAATGATCCTTCTAAAAACTACATCAGATGACGCCGCTTCCCTGCCCAGAACCCTCCACTGGCTCTCAGTAAGTGTGAGCCTCGCCAGTGGCCTTCAAGGTCCTGTGGGTCTTGGTGCCCCATCCCTTTCAGCCCCTCCAACTCTCCTCTCCTGCCCTCCCCTCGCTCACTGGGCACCGGCCACCCTGGCCACTGCCCAGAGCCTCCTGCCCAGATGTTCCTGTGCCTTCCCTCCCCTCCTGCAGGGCTTTGTCCTAATGCCAGCTTCTCCATGACACCTTCTCTGGCCACTTTCTAGGTTCATAGCCCCCATTCCTAGCACATCCTAGCCCCTCTCACTGTTGCCGATTCCCATCAACCTACTGCACATTTTACTTTAGTTGTATATTTGGTGTCTCTCCTCACTGGAATGCAAGGCAGACATTTGGGCATTTTGCTCTCTGCGGCCTCCCCAGAGTGTAGAATAGTACGTGGCACATAGGATGCACTTGATACAATTATTTTTTGAATATTGAATAAACATAAGGTAAGAATAATGATGACTCATACTGTGGTAAGATGTATTTACCGAAAGCCAAACAATGAATAAATGTGCGGTTTTCTTTAAGACTTCAAAAACTAAAAACAGCTCTTCTTTTCGAGCTTTTTTATGCACCTCTCACTTGCTTTCTTCTTTTTTCATCAGAAAATTGTAGAGTCAGAAGGGGGTCATGACTTCCTGGTTCTAAAATTAATATTCAAAAGTGCAGGACAGAGCATTTTCACCGTTGGCATTTTACAAATCATGTGATTGAAGGAAGTACATATTTGCCTGAAGTAGCATCCTTTGAAAGTGCTTCCCAAGTCTCCCCGCCTCAGGCTAAGAACAGTCAAGCAATTCCAGACTAAAGAATGTGCTCCTCATGAAATTTCAGCATAAGTGCATTCAATACACGTTTATTGATCAGCAGAGATCAAATCTGTCGCCCTTTTAACAAAGGTCCAACTGAATGACCTTTCAATGTGAGATGTGTCAAAATCCAAAATGCCAAACAGAAGTCTCCTTACCTCTCGGCAGAGTCTCTGATGAGCTGCTGCAAATCCACCTCCTGCTTCCTCAGGGTTCCAAACGAAGACTGGCTCTCCACACGGCTGCTGCCCCCCAGGTTCAGCTTGACCTTCCCCAGTGCGGTCTCCAGGGTTCCACTCACGTGGTTTGCAAACTTGCCCTCGTATCTCACAAAGTCTGACTCCACGACCACTGGAATGGAGGAGACGAGCAGAGGAAGCTGATGATGATAAGGCCACCAAGGTGTCTTGGGTCACTTAGCTTTCCAAGCCTGTGCAGAGCCCTGGAAAGCAGGAGGCTAAGCTGGCAGCCACGCTGTGTGTATGGGCAAGAAAATGGGGCAGCACATGCGTGTGTGTGTATATGTGTGTGCATGTGTATGTGTCTGTGTGCGTATGTGTATGTTTGTGCATGTGTATGTGTCTATGTGCATATATGTATGTGTGTGAATGTGTGCGTATGTGCATGTGTGCGTATGTGTGTGTGCACATGTGTCTGTGTGTATGTGTGTGTGCGTATGTGTGTCTGCATATGTGTCTGCGTATGTGTATGTGTCTGCGTATGTGTGTCTGCATATGTGTATGTATGTGTGTATATGTATGTACATGTGTGTATGTGTCTGTGTGTATATGTGTGCATGTGTGCGTGTGTATGTGTATATGTATGTCTGTATGTTTGTGTATGTATGTGTGTGTGTGCGTGTCTGTGTATGTACCTGTGTATATGTATGTGTGTCCGTGTATGTGTGTATGTGTGTGTATGCGTGCGTGTATGTGTTTGTGTATGTGTGCGCATGCGTGCGTGTGTGCATATGTCTGTGTGTGTGTGCGTGTGTGTGTGTGTGTGTGTGTGTGTGGACTGCGGGCGCACAGTGCACCAGTGACCAGGGCTCCACTAGAGGTTTTTCTCTTTCATTGGTTTTCAACCCCAATATGTATAGAAAGGTTCACAGAAAGGACTAATGAATAAAGTGAGAGCCTGTTTAACCACTATCCAGGTGGATCAATAGGCCATTTTAAATGTGTACTTTTCCAAGGTGAAGACGGAAAGGGACCAGACAAAGAAGACACCTGAACAGAGCGAGAACAGCAGCCCCTATTCTGGATGCAGCACGAGAGGACGGCCTTCCTTGGACACCTAGGCCTGTCCAGGGGCATCTTGTCTACCCACCCAACAGTCTTGGAAAACAATCCCCTGGCCCTATTACCATCTCCAATCAAATTATTCCCTTCCCATATTTATGATTCTATCTCTGACCTCTACCCAGTCATTCAATTCCTTATCATGCAATTCCTTATCTCTGACTTCCTGATAAGGTCAGTGGACATGCCTTTTTTAAAATGAAAGATGTCTGATCTCATATCTGACCTGTCAGCCTTCTCAAATCGCCAGGTTTCTACTATTCTCATTTTTAATCCAAACAAAAACCACCCTAAAAATAGTCTCTGTATGGTGGCTCACATTTGTAATCCAGCAACTTAGGAGGCTGAGGCAGGAGGATCCCTTGAGGTCAGAAGTTCAAGACCAACCTGGGCAACACCAGCTACCCTCGAGGCTGAGGTGAGAGGATCACCTGAACCCAGGAGTACAAAGTGACAAGTTAGCAATGATCATGCCACTGCATGCCAATCTGGGTGACAGAGCAACACCTTATCTCTAAGAAAATATAAAAGTTATAAAAAATAAAAAAAATAATTTTAAAAATAGTCTCTATCATCACCATTTGTTAAGGAGACATTAACAGTCCACTAGGAACTTCACACTTGGCCTTTTCCATTGTCCTGACCCAAGGCTCTCCTGGGTTCCCAGCTCTACTTCACAAGGTATTCAAACCCACCTGCACTCTGAAAGGCTTCTTTCCATCCACTCACTGCCCCAACACCCAAACTTCACCTACACTTCTTCCACTGCAAACAAGAAAACCCACTCCTCAACCAGGGTTAATCAGAAGCAATTACCACTCAATCACCTTTGAAATTTATAAAACAGAGAATCATCTCTCATACCACCAGCCCAAAAATAAGAATGGTGTAAAAATGTATCCTATCCAGGGCCTTCTTTTGTTAATATCTCATGGAAAACAAACACTTTGGGCAATGCCTTGTGAAGAAGGGCAGGGCAGAAATAAAGAGATTAGGATTACATCCCTACTCTAATATTACTAACTAGGAGAATTTGGGTAATGTTCATTTCCCTGAACCTCAGACTTTCATGTGCAATCTGGAGATAATTAATGATACCTACCTGATGGGTTCTGCTGCAAGTTGATGTATGTAAAGCATGTAAGATAGAGTCTCACACATAGCAAAGGCTCAATCTCTCCACTGTGTTTAGGCCAGAGAAATAGCATTTTCTGATAAACAGGACAGTCCTAGGTTCTACAAAGTACAGCAAAGACAGAAATTCCATCTTCAGGACACAGGTCTGGTCTTGGGCTTATTACCGCTCCTGGAAACCCTGTCCCCAAGACAGGATCCACAGCAGGAAGGAACAGTCACCATTTGTCTGTGAGTTCTGAAAAGCCACTGTAGACACACATCCAAAGAAGATGTCATTTGTGCATACTTCTGCATCAAGGTGTCAACTGCTGTTGGTGGAAGGGAAGAAATGAGGGGACCAACAGGCCATCACTGGGACTGCCAACACCAATCACCATCCTACACCCTTCACAGCCCTGGGCAACACACGCGCCAGTGAGGCTGCGAGTGGGAAAAAATAGCAAAGGTGAAGCATCCTGACTCTACCCAGTAGACAAGATAGAAGACACTTCTCGTCGCTGCCCTAACACCAACGGGACACAGAATCCAGGGTGAGCTCTGACCCCAGATGAGCGTGCTCGTGGATTCTTCGCCAGCAGTGACCGCCGCTGGCCTCACCAATCCAGCACAAGTCTTTGTGATCTTTCAGGACACCACAAAAGAGGCATTTCACATCACAGAACAGTAAAACTCCAATCACTCAGGAGCTCCTGGTCTATTTTGTCATTTTTTTCCCTCTTGTTCCTTTTCATACTTAGTTATTTCACCATTCAATAGAAGTTCTGCCAGAAAGCACACAAATTCCTAAAGGGGAGGGTGATATAAACTTAATATCAATTCATTTGCCTATTGTGTGGCAGCTCTGATGAGCTGACTGGAGACAGCACTGACTGGAATCCTTTCCTGGAAGAAAGTTTGAAGATTATCTGTAAACACAAATTATCTCCTCTACCTCTTTTCCCCTTTAACAGAGATGCAATCACAAAATTAGAGAGTTCTAGAGCTGAAAGAGGATTCAGACATCATTTTGTCCAATAATTAAAAGCTGATGAGATTTTCATATATCACCACATTCCAAAAAGTAATGTAGCAATGAGTAAGTACCAAGTCTTCAAAAAGTTCCCATCTTCTGGTCCAGTAATTCTCTAAGAATTTATGCTGAAGCAGTTGCCTAAAAAACTACAACAAAAATGCACATAAAAGTGCTCATTGCAGCCTTACTTATTAATCATTATTATTATTTTATTTTGGAGACAGGGTCTCACTCTGTTGCTCAGGCTGGAATGCAGTGGCACAATCATGGCTCACTCCAGCCTCAACCTCCTGGGTTCAAGCGATCCTCCCACCTTAACTTCTCGAGTAGCTGGGAGTACAGGTGCATGCTACCATGCCCAGCTAATTTTTCTATTTTTTGTAGAGATGGGGCTTGCCACTTTGCCCAGGCTGGTCTCAAACTCCTAGGCTCAAGTGATCCGCCCACCTCGGCCTCCCAAAGTGCTAGAATTACAGGCATGAGCCACTGCACCCAGCCTCAACGTTATTTATTAAGCACTAAATTGTAGTGGTTAAGCAAATTAGGTACGTACACTCAAAGGAATATTACGTGTTTGTTGAAAACTGTATTTAAAAATACAGTTTCTTCCATAGGTAAAAATAACCTATGGAAGAAAACTTAATGTTAAGTAAAAAATAAGGAGTATATAAAAATTATATACAGTATATTTTCTTTCTTTTTTTTTTTTTTTTTTTTTGAGATGGAATCTCACTCTGTCACCCAGGCTGGAGTGCAGTGGCACAATATTGGCTCACTGCAACCTCTGCTGCCCAGGTTCGAGTGATTCTCCTGCCTTAGCCTCCTGAGTATCTGGGATTACAGGTGCCTGCCACCATGCCCTGCTAATTTTTGTATTTTAGTAGAGATGGGGTTTCACCATATTGGCCAGGCTGGTCTTGAACTCCTGACCTCATAATCCACCTGCCTCAGCCTCCCAGAGTGCTGGGATTACAGGCGTGAGCCACCACACCTGGCCTACAATATACTTTCAATTTTGTTATTAAAAATCAGATCCAGAGAAATAAAAGGCTACAAACCAAGTGTTAATGGGAATTAACACATGATGGTAGGATCTTTTATGTTTAAATTTTCTTCTTCATCCCTTTCTATATTTTATACTGTACTGTAACAATACATCTGACCCCAGTTTTGATGTCTGACTGCTCTCAGCTTCTGAGCCCCCACTCCTCCTTCTCTTTCTTTTGCACATCTGGACAAGCTGATAAGAGATCCCAGGTGCTCTGTCCATGGTGTCACTGAAAACTCAAATCACATAAACCCATCCCCCATGCAGGGACCAACGCCCATCTCCACTCACTAATCACAATAAAAGCTGAGCCCATCTCCTTATCCCCTTCTCTGTGGCCATTTTTGGACCAGTTTTAAAGACTGTCCTGCTTTCCCCAGAAAGCATCATTATATGAATAAACATTTTCACACCTTCTTGATGCTTATGTGGCATCATCAGTTCAACACCAAACCACATTTGGGGTAGGTGATCCACCCCACTTATGCTGAGTGGCCACAACATGTACAGTAAGCATGCCTTACTTTTATACTAAACTGCAAAATTATTTTTAAAAGGTTAAGCTATAATGTGTCATGTCAGGTCTGCAGAATTTTGTTCATTTTAAGAAAGGATATGCTTTTAAGATGACAGGCAAAGAAACAGGAGAATTCATTATAAAGTATCTAGACTCAAGGCAATACGTTCATTAAAGAAGAAGCATCGACCAGGCACGGTGGCTGATGCCTGTAATCTCAGCACTTTGGGAGACCGAGATGGGTGGAACACTTGAGGTTAGGAGTTTGAGACCAGCTTGGCCAATATGGTGAAACACTGTCTCTACTGAAAATACAAAAATTAGCTGGGCGTGGTAGCAGGTGCCTGTAATCCCAGCTACTCAGGAAGCTGAGGCAGAAGAATCACTTAAGCCCAAGAGGCAGAGATTGCAATGAGCCAAGATCACACCATTGCACTCCAGCGTGGGCAACAGAAACTCCGCATCAGAAAAAAAAAATCATCTTTTCTGAGACTAATTATAGACTATACACAAGGAAACATACCTGGACTCGGAAATTGGTCTTCTATGAGTACATCACCAAGGGTGAGGGATAAAAACTGGTACTTGGGTCTCTGCCAGCACCAGTGTCTCTTCTTTTTTGTCACCAGACTTAGAAGCTGTAACTTATCAGAGTCATTCAGATTTGATACTGCAATCAGGTCACCATCAGCATCAACTTCTCTAAGAAAATTCCTTGTTGCCTTGGCAAACATTTTGAAAGCTCCAGATTACCTGAAAAAGTAAAGTTGTCCTAAAATCAAATAAGAAGTTACTATTTTGTGGCTTTTTTCCCAAAAATTATTGTATTTCTCCCTATTCACAACAGTTCACATGAAAGAATATCTTCTTCCTAAAAGACCCTCTAGTTTGACTTTAGCGGATAATAAAGAACTCAAATAGAGATATTGAAAGAACATATATATACCAATCAGGATATAATAGGTTATGCTTCAGAAACAAACAATCCCTAAATCTTAGTGGTTTATAACAATAGGGTTTATTTGTTGCTCATACTACTTGCTCAATACAGGGGTACAAGAGAGTTTTGTTTATTATGGTTATACAGGGATCCAGAATGAAGGGAAAGCCAGCATCTTGAACGCTGTCAACCATTATCCAAGAGGAAAGAATTCTGGAAGATCTCACACCAGCAATTAAATGATCTGGCCCCAAAGTGACACAAGGAAGGTTGCTTACAGCTTGTCAGAACTAGTCACATGGCCTCAACCAAAAATAAGGGCCAGAAAATACAGTTTTATCAAGAATCTGGAAGGCAGGCTGGGCATGGTGGGTGATACCTGTAATCCCAGCATTTTGGGAGGCCAAGATGGGAAGACTGCTCAAGCCCAGGAACTGGAAACTAGCCTGGGCACCATAGCCAAACTACTAATTAAAAATTAAAAAATTAGCTGAGTGTGGTCCCAGTTACTCGGGAGGCTGAGGTGGGAAGACTGCTTGAGCCCAGGAGTTCAAAACTGCAGTGAGCCACGATCATGCCACTGCACCCCAGCCTGGGTGACAGTACAAGATTTTGTCTCAAAAAGGCAGGGAGCTGGGAATATTTGTTGAACAACAACATACTGACTACCGCAATAGATAGCTTACCTATGACCACCTATCTGAAGGGTCAAAGGTGCTTTTTTTCTACACTGTGTGATTTCTCATATTCAGATATGAAAAGTAACAAGCTATGCCTTTTTAACCCAGAAAATAAAGGCACAGTCATACTTTAGCAGGAGCGGAAAAGAAGAGACACATTGGAAGATATAAAAAAGGAAAATACTATATTCAGGAGAAGCAGCATAGACTGTTTAACAAATGCTTTTGGAACAATGGGCTAACCATCTGGAAAGAAAAAAACTGAATTCCTCCCTCATACCATACATAAGGCAAATTCCCAATGAAATCAAGAGGTTTCTTTGAGGAAAAAATGAAACTGTGAAAATACTAGAAAAAATAGAGAAATATTTGTACAATTGCAGGATGAGAAGGGCTTTTAGAAAAGACAAAGGGCAAACTGAGAAAATAATTGTAATATTTATGACAGGGAACAAAAATGCTTAATATATATTTTTAAAACTTTTATAAATCAAGTTTTAAAATACTTTACTCCAAGAGAAATGTAGGCAATGGTTCTAAACCATTCACAATACACAAATTGCACAGAGCATGTAAATACACATACACACACGTATAATAAATTACCACATACAAAAGAAGAAAATAACATTTTTACAAACTATCCATGGTCAAAATGAAAAGCTCTAATGGACAAGAATAGTGTTTTATTTTTGCTTGCACCCTGGCACTTGGTACAGTTGCATAGTCACACAGTTCTTAGGATTTAAGAGATGAGAATAAGCTCAGACTTTAGCTCAATCCACTTTAGCATGAATCTCTTTTAGGGCATGGGAAATCATTTGTCTTATCAATCACTGGTTCTTTTCTATAGTATCTTTTCTTAGATTATTATGATGCAGTAGCTCCCTGTTCTTGTATATTAACACTAGGAATGAACATTTAAGGAAAAATTCTAAAACATGCAAGGAAGTTCCTTTCTGATAAGGTGAACTGCAAAGCAGCACGACTAAGGATGCTCAGGCTGTCATCTGTAATTAATCTGTTACTATGTCATGCATAAGAATTTTGCATTCAATGGAATACTCATTTATTTATTTACCAAATCATCAACTGAATCATTCACTAATTTTTCTTGAGTACCTACTATACTACCGTGTTTAAGCACTTAGGATACAAAGACAAAAAATAATTTCTCTCCTCAATGAGCTACTAGTTTGGTGGCCAGATGGAGAAATAAACAGCTTAGTTTTATGTTAGCTACTGGCAGAGATTGTTCCAGGGAAAGAACCAAGAAAAAGGCATCTAAATGTCATTGGAGAGAGGCATACTGTCACAGAAGTCCTCCTGAAGTCGATGACATCCAAGCTGCATTGTGTAGGCTAAGTAGAAGTAAGCCAGGCAAAGGAGCACTGTATGGATGCTGTAGCTGAGGAGAAGCCATTATGAAAGCACAAAATTTGCAGGAGGTGGTGGAGGGATGGGAAAGACAGTGCCAAGCAAATGGGTTACCACTGAGCTTGAGATGGCCCAGGAGACATTGTATTGATCTGCCATCCACCACTTTGACAGACTGGAATGACTGGTCAAGCTCTGAGCTTGACTCTTGCACTGGAATGCAGCATTCCAGAGTGGAGAAGGGCCAGAGACAAAGCTGCGGAGGCCCCCAGTCCATGTCCTGCCTCTCCTGCAGGGCAGCCAGGGAAGCAGGTGCCATTGGAGGGTGTGTGATCAGAATGATCCCTTAGAAAAATCTTCTAGAAGCAAAATAGCAAAGGGACGGACTGCAGGGGAGCAAGATTAGAGATGGACAAAAAATGACAATGCTCTGGACTAGGTCAGTGGCATGAAGATAGAAAAGATACTGGTTTGGTGAAGGTTGGTGATGAAAGAAAGAAGGCCCCCTGGGGCATCATCCTGGTATCCCAGGTGCAGGCTGGGAGATGAGAAGGAAAAGCCAGTTACCAAGAGAGGGAATTCGAAAGTAACAGATTTACTTTGCCAAACATGGGACTGGGTCTCCCCGAGGGCCTGTGAGAACTCGTCCTGCGAGTCCTGGAGAGCCACAGAACGATCTGTTTTAGTTTACCACTGCTGTCAGGATCTCCACTGTTACGGCTTCTATTCTTTTCTGGGACAAGCTGAAAGGGAACTCACTCACGCACTTGCCTTCAGATCACACAGGTTTCTGTAGAAACCAAATCAGGCTTGCCATGAAAAAGCAAAAGAAAACCCATCTGCTGTGAGTGGGAAAACCTTAGTAAAGACACCAATCCTCCCCCACAGGACTTAGACGGTAAAACAGAGGAAATTCCTAAATTATTTTTTAATGGTTTTTTTTTTTTCCCATCTAACATCAAACAGCTAATTTGGCTTCTTGACAGGGTAGGGTACTTTAAGGAGAGTGACTGGAGGTGGCTATTTATTGCTTTGTAGGTTGTTATTAGACTCAAACATTTTAATCATGGAACTCTGAGAATATTCTCCTGGTGAAGTTAAAGTTAGAGGTTTCTTTATGACCATTATGTGTGAATTATACTTACATGGTTCAAAAATCTAAATTATGTAAAGGATACACATTGAGAAATCCCATTCCTGCCCAGGCCCCAATAACCCATTCACTCCTCTCCCCTTCAGCCAAATTTCCTTCATATTTCTTTACACAGGTGTAGTTAAAAGGAACACACGCACTGCTCAGCATCTTGCTTTTCTGCCACATACTCCCTTATGCAGAAGTATCATTGTGCATTTTACTTGTCCCATGTTGCTGACCACTTGGGTTATTTCTAAACTTCTGTTATATTAAAGATGTCCCCAGTAAATACCGCATACAGATGTCCTCTTCATAAACAAGCAAATGTATCTGAAGGGTAGATCCCTAAAAAAGAGATTGCTAGAACAATGGGTAAATGCATCTGTAATTGTAGGAGTTGTGCTGTTCTGCAGTCTGACCAATAATGTTCAAAAGTATCCATCTTAGCAACAGCGTATCATTAGACTTTTGGATTTTTGCCAGTCTGATAGGTGAGAAATGGAATCTCAGCCTAGTTTTAGGTTGTGTTATTTTAATACAAATAAGATCAAGCATCTTTTATTTTGTTGAAAGGCTTTCTGTATTTAACTGTGTCCTTTGCTCATTTTCTATTCTTGCTTTTTTTGGCTTTATTTCCAGGAATGTTTGATATAATAAATCTACTAAAATATAGGCTAGGAACAATAGAGTTTATAATGCAGCATTAGGGGACAATACACTGCCACCATCAGTCTCAAACACGTAAGATAACTAGTCAGCCAGGAAAGATTAAAGAATATGGCCAGGTCCAAATAAATGAAGGCTCTAGAACTCAAGTTGCCTGACACAGACAAGCATGGTCATGTCTCAGCCAAAAGTCAGACTCTGGATTAAAAGTTTCACAATGCTCCAATTTGGGAGAAGATGAAAATGTCCTCAGGAGACATCATGCTCAAATAGCTCATGGCCTAAAAACTCACCGCACTTCACAGTTGTTACAATAGATCATGGGCTCTCACACAGAGCCTTAAAAGTTATATTAGCAGCCGGGTGGGGTGGCTTAGGCCTGTAATCCCAATACTTTGGGAGGCTGAGGTGGGGCGGATCACCTAAGGTCAGGAATTTGAAACCAGCCTGGCCCAACATGGTGAAACCCCGTCTCTACTAAAAATACAAAAATTAGCATGGCATGGTGGCAGGCAGTAATTCCAGCTACTCGGGAGGCTGAGGCAGGAGAATCACTTGAACCTGGGAGGCAGAGGTTGCAGTGAGCCGAGATCATGCCATTGCACTCCAGCCTTGGCAACAAGAGTGAAACTTTGTCTCAAAAAAAAAAAAAAGTTGTATTAGCAAACAGTCCTTATTCACTTGTCTGGCTTCCCAGCTCAAAGCAGGTGAGAACTAAAAAAGCCAAACCAAATGCAGTAAGGATATCCTAGCTCAAGTCAGACTCCTGGACAAGAGACCTTCAGGGGCAGACACCACGAAAGCAAGACAATGACACAAAGCTAGCAAAGCACACAGCCAACTGGAGCCACTGCGAACAAACAATCTTAAAAATAGTTGCCAGAGTAATGACTGCAGGAGAAGATAACTATATTCACTACTGTCTGTTAAGACTGGTTCAGAGTCATGGAATTGTCTAGTTTTTGAATTAGAAGAGAAACCTCGTTCTTTCTCACACTCCATTCAGGATTCTTCTTAAGAACCGCTCCTGTTGAACCCTGGGCCTCTGCTTGCACAGTTCAAGAGAAGAAACTTCAACATCAAAATACTCTAGACAAAGAGAGGAGCCTTTTGAGTTGAGTCCCTGCTATGTTCCAGGCATGGGGCTTACTGCTTTATACACATTTCCTTATTTAATCTTCACAATAACTCTTTGAAGCAGGCATTGTCCACATTTTACAGATGAGGAAGCTGCGGTTCAAAGATGTTAAGTAACTTGCCCAAGATCACAGCAAAGAGAAAAGCAGCCCTGACATCTGGGAGCTGGCCTGGTACTCTCAGGCCCTGGTGTTGCTGACCATTAGTAATGTCACAGAGCATCAATATCAGGCAAGGCCACTCTTGTCATGAGAAATCAACATGGAAACAAGGCTGCTCTGTAATCATACCTGAACACAGACAAAGCATGAACACGTTCAAAGCACAAAACTGATCAAATACCACCCCGCTTCCAATCATTAGCAGTCCTGATGAGTGACTACTGCTTCCTGACCAATCACAGCTACAGCCTCTCTCTGGCCTTCTCACCTTTTTGACGAGATTTACTAGGACACTCAGTCACAGAGTTTCCCCTGCTTCCTGACCACATCCAATTCAGAGCAAAGCCCTCTTTCCCCAAACCACCTGCTACATGCCCAAATCCTCTGTCCCTTCTAACACCTCTTACTGAGACACCTCAGGGTTCCCCGTGGTGTCCCTCACTGCAAGGAGAAATAAACCAACTTACTGAACTGTCACTGTGTTCCTGGAGGTCTTTGGAGGGCACTGAACATCACATAGAGAATCAGTGCTGAGCCAAGATTCCACCTGAGGTCTACCTGACTCCAAAGCCTGTGCCCTTGGCCACTCTACTCTGCTGGCTCCCTGTTCAGCCTTCTTTCTGTTCTAATGTGGGCCTCATATGATTCATTCTATAACATAAGAAAGTGCCCTTGAAAGGGTAAACCGCAGTTACAGTGGAAACAAAAATCATTGCTATGGAACATGTGTCATTTCCTTTCTATCTGGGGAGATGAAACATGGCTGTACTTGTCTACTTGTCTCATGGTTAACAATTTCAGCACACTTTGAATTAGTTTTAGTTTCCTAGACAGCAAAGTGCAATTGGGTCTATTAAATTAGAACAGAGGTGGCATCTTTTCTTATCTTCCTATGCCTACAGCCCAGTACCTGAACTCATTTTTAATGAGAAGACAACTTAATATTTCATCATTTCTTTCTAAAATAAAAATCAGTATGTGAACTCAATGATGGTCATAAGACAGGCATGAGCTTGGAAAGAGAGGGAGAGTGAGGGGGCAAAGGCTTTGGGGACGTGGAGTGGGTAACAGAAGACAGCCTGGGTACGAATAGAGAAGATGCGGTGTGGTGGCAGGCACCTGCGGTCTCAGCCACAGGTGGATGCGAGGATTCCTTGAGCCCAGGAATTCAAGGCTGCAGTGAGTTAGGATAGCGCCACTGCACTGCAGCCTCGGTGACAGAGCGAGACCTTCTCTCAACAGTAACAAAGAACCTAGCCAAGGGACTGTGGCTGGAGGGCTGGGCCCTTTCTCTCTCAGATCTACCTCATGGTCTGGGCTCAACTTCTTTAGAAAAAGAGCTTGGTGGTGGTAGATTGTGAAGACAATTAATTTCACTCTTCAGCTGCTTCTCCAAGCCCACAGTACTCCTTTCATTCCACTTGGACTTGGCCATCTGTCTGGCCGCCTGCCTGCCTGCCTCTCAGGACAGCAACCCCAAGCCATCCATCCCTTTCACTATCCCCATTCACTGTTCTGGACAGAGAAGACTCTGGAGGATGGGCGGTCGGTGGGTTCAGTCCACAACCAACGCTCTTCTAAGAGGTGCCCTCTAGTCTTTCCCCTAGTGCAGACGGCAAGCAGCTCTGGAAAGGGTCAGGGGTCCTCAAATGGAGACCAAAGGGAGCCACGCGGGCAGCTGTCGAGAGCCATCCAGCGCATGCCGGGCACACCGAGTGGGACTTGGCTTCCTCCCCAAGCGAGGGGCCCTCTAAATACCGGAGCAAGGTGGCTGGGGTCTCTTTTCCGTCAAGAGAGACTGAACTCCTTATCTGCTCCGCGGCCCGCCTCCCCGTACACACGCCCCAGAGTCGGGAAAGCCTCCGCACCACCCAGAGGAGAGACCGGAAGACAAAGGATGAACGAGTGGGGAGCGGGTGGTCTGGGGGAAAGGAGAACGAAAATACCAGCTGCGCTTGCAACATCCAAGGAAGGAAGTGGCAGCGGGGAAGGGGAGAAGATGGGAAGGGGATGCTGAGTATGAGTAGGGGCGGGACACGGTGATGGGAGGGAGACTGGGCCGGGAATGCGGGTGGCGAGGGGAGCGACGGGACCTGCAGTTCCAGCGGCCGGGCAGCCAATCGACTGGTCTCCCCTAGGAAGGAGCGAGGGGAGGGTGTCCCAGAGAGAAAGCGCCGCGCGGCCTCGGCTGCTCCCGGCCTGGGACACCCAAACGGACCAAAGAGGAGCCGGAGTGGAGCTCGCAGCGGATCCCGCAGCCTGCGTCCGCTGTGCACTTACCCGCGCGCCCGCTGCTGGGTCTGCGGCAGCCGCGCCCCCTGCGCTGGCGGAGTCGGAGGAGCCTGACTGGAGGTGGCTATTTATTGCTTTGTAGGTTGTTATTAGACTCAAACATTTTAATCATGGAACTCTGAGAATATTCTCCTGGTGAAGTTAAAGTTAGAGGTTTCTTTATGAC